ATAAGCTAACTTTTTCTTACCATAGTCTCTTTTTATGAAAATACATATTTCAGTAAGGTTCCTGACAGTTCCCTTCACACCAGCAGACGATCCTCTGATACTAGCTGGGTGTCCTATAATTTAACTTAATTCTGACACCAACACAATCTATCTAGGGATAGCATCAGTTTCCATAGGTTAAGAGTTCGATCCTACAAGACTGCCTTCTCGCCACCAGCACACACAATTCAGACCCTGGTCGCAAGCCCAGGTTGTTAGGTGTACTTTTGACTGACTGACTATAAATCAGAGGTTCCCGTGCCCTCCTCCTTGGTTTCAATTAATTTACTATTACAGAACTCAGAGAAATATTTCACTTACTAGATTACCAGTTTATTCTAGAAGGATTAACTCAGAAACAGCTTGGTGGAAGAGATGCATAGGGCAGGGTATGGAGAGGGGACACGGAGTTCCCATACCCTCTCTAGGCAGGCCACTCTCCCAGCATCTCCATGCCTTCACCCACCTAGAAGCTCTCCAAACCCTGTCCTTTGGGTTTTTATGGAGGCTTCATTACGTAGTCACAATTAAATAAATCATGGGTCACTGGCTATTGATTCAACCTGCAGCCCTTCTTCCCTCCCAGGAGGTTGGGGTTGGGGGATGGGTACTAAAAGTTCCAACCCTTCAATCACATGGTTGGTTCCTGGCAAAGAGCCCCATCTTCACGTTGCCTACAGGCTTTCCAAAAGTCACCTCATTAACATAACCAAAGACCTTTATTGGTCTTACTGTAGGAGATTCCAAGGGTCTTGGGAGCTCTGTGCCACAAATAGGTCAAATATATCTATTTCTTATAAATCTCAGTATCACATACTTCTTTGGAACACTGGTCTAGGACTCCGCAGTTCTTTCACTTTTCAGGAAGGGGATTTCTTCATTGCTTTTATGGGAGAGCAGCTGGATGTGAAAAAGAGGACAAAGCATTAAGTGATTCTAAAAGTGGCACTAGACTTTGTTGGGTCATATGGTAAAACCAAACACATACAGGATGTATCTTCCTAAAACTGGAAGTGCAAACCAAAGCCTACATCTACTTTTCTCTGTAAATCCATTTAGGTTTTATGTGTTCTCTCCCCAGCATCTCTAGACTTACCTCCAGCCCCATCTCTCTTGTTTTCCTATCTCAATACCCAACCTTCCCACTTTCCTCCTCTGCCTGCACAGAGGTTCCCTTCCATGATAGGTAGAATAAAGACCTCCAAAGTTGTCCACATTCACATATCTGAAACCTGTAAAGGGGAGTTAGGTTTTTAAATAGAATTAAGATTGCTGATCAGCTGACCTAAAGATCCCAAGAGATTATCCTAGATTATCACGGTGGGCCCAGTATGGATACAATGGTTCTTAAAATGGAAGAAGGAGGCAGAGGAGAGTCAGAGGTGACTTCAGAAGATGTCAGAGTGATGCAGAGTGAGAACTCAACTCACCTTTGTTGGCTTTGAAAACAAAGGAAGAAGCCAAGAGCCAAGGAATGTTGGCAAGCTTTAGAAGCTAGAAAAGGAAAGGAACCATTCTCCCTTAGCCCTCCAGAAGGAATGCAGCCTGTGTTTTTTTTTTAATTGAAGTATAGTCGATTTACAATGTTGTGTTAATTTCTGGTGTACAGCATAGTGATTCAGTTATACATAAACATATATATTCCTTTTCATATTCTTTTTCATTATAGGCTATTACAAAGTTTTAAATATAGTTCCTCATGCTATATAGTAGGATCTTGTTGTTTATCTCTTTTATATATAGTAGTTAGTATCTGCAAATCCCGAACTCCCAATTTATCCCTCCCCACCCTCTTTCCCCATTGGTAACCAAAAGTTTGTGGGTCTGTCTCTATTTTGTAAGCAAGTTCCTTTGTATCCTTTTTTTTAGATTCCACATATGAGTAATATCATATGGTGTCTTTCTTTCTTTTTCTGGCTTACTTCACTTAGTATAATGATTTCCAGAACCATCCATGTTGCTGCAAATGGCATCATTTTATTCTTTTTTATGGCTGAGTGGTATTCCATTGTAGAAATATACCACATCTTCTTTATCCAGTCATCTGCTGATGGACATTTAGGTTGCTTTCATGTCCTGGCTATTGTAAATAGTCCTGCCAATACCTTGATTTTAGCCCAGTGAGACCTATTTCAGACTTTTAACTTCCAGAACTGTAAGATAACAAATTTATATTTCTTAAGCTACTGAATTTGTTGTAAGGTGTTACATCAGCAATAGAAAACTCATACACAGTCTATTTTAGCCCCCTCAGGACAGCCACAGCTTTCTCCAGGAAACATAAACAGGCATCAAGACCTAGACATTCCTAGCTACTCAAGTGAAAATAATGGGTCATTTAGTAAGTTAATGGCAGATCTGTCAGCCAAAAGCAGAGAAGCCCTCGATCATGGTGTGTAAACACCATGTGTAAACAAGATAGGTGCTTATTTTTCTTCACATAAATGGTAGCCTGTTCACAGCTGGCATGGTGGCTCTACAGTATCAGTAAGGACCCAGCTCCTTCCTGCCCATCCTGAAGTGTAGCCTAGGATTCAAGATGGAACTCTGTGGTCAACATGAATACCTTCTAGGCCAGTAGCAGGAGGAAGCAGAGGCCCATCCCTTGCCTTCAGGGACACTTCTGCTTTTATCTCATTGGCCAAGATGTAGTCATATAACTACATCATGCTGAAAGGAGGCTGGGGAATGTATCTTTCACCAAAATATACCCAACTAAACTTCAGGGTTCTTGTGGTCTCTGTTAAAAATAAAAAAATTGTTATTACTAATGAAAAGGAGGCGTAGTAGAAGCAAGCTGTGGTCTCTGCCACAGGTTACTGTGTGATCTGGTTTAGATTCAAGGGCAGAAGAATAGCTGGCCAGACTCCCAGAGCTCCCTCAGGTCCGGTGAGGATTTGGTAATTCTGTGATGGTCTGTATCTTAGTGTGATAAACTGTAGTTTGGAAGAAACGTTAACTTCACAGAACAGTGTCCAGGGGCTTGTAGATCATGGCTCCTTCTATCTTTGGATGAATGAAAGAGTTAGGCTACCCTACTGGAGAAGTCAGTGCTCCATCTTGGCCTGGTGAAGTGTTATGAGGCTCTTAGATGTTCATTTTATTTGGGAGCATGTAATTTACCAGTAGGGGTGAGATAACTGGGTCTCTAACCATGCTGATGAAATCATAGTCGTTAAAGCCTCCTTTTATTTTTTTGTTTTTACATTCAAGATCACTCCCTTGATCTTCAAGCATTTGAAAGTAGAATTCAGAGATCTTTGTGGCTTCAAAATTCTTTCCATCTTCCTACCCATTTTATTGTCTCCAAAACCTTTGAAAATAAATTGAGGAAATAGCTAACTATCTCCCAATTTGTACTGTAAATGCTGTTGGGCTGGGTGGCTTTTGCAGCATTTTTTAAAAAATAAGTCTCTGAGAAGGGACTTCTTTGTTTACAGAGAGTTATGCCTAATTTCTTACTTTGTCTTAAAGTACTAGATATCAAGAAGTAAGAACCAAAGAAGATAATCTGTAGACTTTTGCTTTTTTGGTAATTAAAATTGTTTCTTGATTTTAGTAGATAAGTAAAAACCCATGTACTGAACTTATGGGTTATTCTTCCTTCCCCAGGTTTTCTGTATGCCCTCTTTCCTTTTTGAAATGGTAGCCTGATCCCACTTTATCCCTAGATAAAAATACTCCCCAAAGCTAGCAGAAGTCACGGTTTTTAATCTAATGTGTTTAGAATAAGATTCGACTGGTGTTGACTGAAGCAGTGTTTAATGCTTCTCATTTCTTTGGTTGTGCGCACTAGTTAAATTGCAGCTCTCAGACGCTGCTTCACTATTGGGCGTCAGTGACCTCAAGGGACACATTCACACAGATGGTCCTGAAATAGCATATGGCACCTTGACATAGAGATCAAGACCTGGTCAGAGTGTGGGGGAAATGGGCACCGAAAATAAAATAAGCTAATTTCAGAGATGAACAACAGGAATAAAGTGAGATGGTGGATCAAGAAATCATTGAAAGAGAGATGAAATTGTGATAGGACTTGAAGGGGTAGGGGGCAAGGGTGAGAGCCACTCTGGCAGAGCCAGAGACAAAGAAACCATCTCACCATCTACACAGGTACAGAACTCCCCTCTCTAAACATTTATGTTCTGTTTCCATGTTTATAAAAGTTTGTCTGTTGTACTTAATTTAGAATACCACTGTTGAACTCATTGATGTGATTAACAGTTTTGACATAGCAGTCCCTCCCCCTTGACATTATAGTGTTCCTGAAGAATTATGAGTAATGTGATTGATTGTGAATCTAGCCATATTTCAAATCAAGTGGAAAGAAAGGACCATTTAAAATGATGGTGGATAAACAACACAAAAGAGCCACACCTCCAATTGCAGTGTCTCTGCAGCATAACAGACTGAGATGCTTGCAGTTAACGAGAGAATCGGCATTTGAGCCCATCAAGAAAACATTGCAAATATAGGATCGTGAGTCCTGAAGGATTGTATAGTTTACCATTCCTGCCTCTACTCACCTTTCATTCCTCATCCTCTGAGAGCACTCAACACAGCATCTGACAGTAGCAGTACCGAATACGTAACAACACTAAAATGATGCACATTGTCACCCAGTTACCATTTTGAACTTATCTCATAAATTAAGTTAAATTTAATAACTTGCTTTCTTAAGGTGGTGGCACATCGTATTGTGATACAGTGAACATTCTTTTTTTTAAATTTTTTTTCTTTGAAGAAGGCATGGAAGGACAGAGGTAGGGAGTCGGAAAAGTGAACCACATCTTCTGATCTGCCTGCCGCTAGACTGAGTGCTGAATTGGGGGTGTAGATGGCTGGAGGAGCCAGGCCTGACTACAGCCACTCTTTTGGGATCCCCCAGTGAGGATGACCTTATACCTTTGGCAGCTGGTGAATTCTCTGATGCATCTTTTCCTCCTTGTTTTCTTTCCTAGTGTGTCTGAAAAACCCACCCAGCACTCCAATGGCCAGCAACAACACCGCCAGCATAGCACAAGCCAGGAAACTGGTAGAACAGCTGAAGATGGAAGCCAACATCGACAGGATAAAGGTGAGGATGGCGTAACTCACACAGCACATCTAGCCTCCATTGTAAGGAGCATGACTTGCAGCTTTCTATGATTTGACTACTCTTCTCTGGATAGTGATGAGGCCAGTGATGGTGGGAGAGAAACTTAATGATTAGGCACAAGTTCATTTTTTCTAATGTGTCTTTGCCTTTTCTGGATTTCTTCAGAATAAAATGACAGTATAAATTAAAACTTGTTCTCCATGTAGAATTCAAAACAAAACTTAGGCTCGTGGTAGAATTCTAGCCAAGGGGTTTGGAGAACCCATAAAACCCATAAAAGCAGTCCACCAGCTCATTTCTCTGACCTTCTTATTTGGATTTAATTTTTTCTATCCTGATGTAGGTTCTAAGTTTTAATGTCTTATCTTTCATGTCTAATCCTTCTATCCACCATTACAGGTTATTATTTTCTTTCTTCTTTGTACCTTACTGGATTTTTTTCTTCAAAACACAGAAATCACACATGGTCTTCCTGAGAAGTCAAACAGCATACAGCGTTAATGGAAGTTCATAGTTCACTTCTTTCTTTCTCTTACTCCCCAGATCTAACCTGACAGCTTTGCCTTGAGTTGGATCTAGCATTCTGAGCCACGACTTTAAATCCAAAGCCTTTGTTGGCAGATTTTCAGTGCAAATTGACACACACAATGTCATTACTAACAGATAGCTACTGCAGGATGATGATAAATTTTTGTTAGTTAGCAAAGCTTCACTTCCCCAGAAGACCTGAGCATTTTATGAAATGCAACTCAGAAACATGTTTCATTTTACTGAACTTAGAACATTCTTCCAATTGCCTTTTTTAAACTAGAAGATTTTTCCTTTTTTGTCCATACCTGACTCAGCAACCTGAACAATCCAGCCATCCTTTGGAATGTGCTTCCAAGGGTCAATAAATTATGGCTCAGGAGCCAAATCCAGCCCCTTGCCTGTTTTTGCCAATAAAGCTTTATTAGAACACAGCCCTGCCCATTCATTTACATACTGCCTAAAGCTACTTTCACACTACAACAGAGGGTGGAATAGTTGCAGCGGAGACCATGTAGTCCACAAAGCCTAAGATTTTTACTCTCTGGCCTTTTAGAGAAAAACTTGGCTGGCCCCCGCCTTTGAGCAATGGTTCTCAGCCCACCTGTACATTCACATCATCCAGGGGATTCTATAAAATGACCAATTCTAAGACAGCCCTGTAGACCAGTTAAATTAGAAACTCTTAGGGTATGATTCAGGCATCAGTATGTTTTAAAAATTATCAGTTAATTTCAACGTATAGCTGAAGTTGAGAACCATGGTCCAATGGGAAGGGGTTTGCTCCTTGTAATTCCTGTCAGGTCTGTGCTAGAACATGAAGAGTGAGCTAGTCTTCATGAGTAAGCTGAGCAAATATCCACAGACATTTTTCCATCTAGCCCTAATCTCCTTTGTAAATTTCGAGTCCTGGTAATGGGCCACAAAATGTCAACAGCTTGTCCTCTTCTTGTAACAGCTTTAATTCTTCTTCTTTATTTACGAATGAGATAAAGGCTCCTCACCATCTGCCTTGCTCCTTTATTACCTTCCTCTTCTCCTTTTTTCCCTTTGCCTCTTCTTTTGTATTTCCTTGCTAAAAAAATTTACGATGTGGCAGGTGGGCACAGCACCTGCTGAGAAAAGTGAGGTGGCCCCAAAATTGAATCTTTCAGTTCTTTTTTTTTTTTTTTTTCTGATAGGGGGTAGTTCTGCCCATAGACCTTTTGGAAAATGCCACTTTGCCTTTTGGGTGGCCCACTGAAGACAAAAGTGTTTATAAAGCACTATTTTGGTTGGCATTTTCTGTTACTACTCAGCATCCCCAGGCCTGCATCCTGAAAGAGGACGCGATGGTGTTGGTGGTGATGAAAAGCAGACAGTGGGAAGAACAGGACAAAAACAGACCTTTTCAGCCATAGTCAGACCTTCATCACCTCTCACCTGAACTTAGCTGATCCCTACAACCCCATCTCAACCCAATCTCCATCCCTTCCATCAGTTACCCTCCATGTTGCTGCCAAAGACAACTTTCTACCTCATTAGGTTCCTCTCCTCCTGGAGATCTTTTCATGATTCCCATCACCTGGAAAATAAAATTCAGACTCTAGCAGAGTATGCAGGGTCCTTGTGGCCCCTGCCCCTCTTTTCAGCTTCATCTCCTTCTTCTCACCCAAATGCCATATTGAACCACTTTTCGTTCCCTTGATGGATATTTTGAACACCTGGAACATTCTTTTCTCCTCTCTACACTTCTGCTTTTCCAACTCCAATGACTCTTAGAAGATTCAATAATTATATCTTTTAAGAAGTTTGCCCAGACCCTCATCATAAGGTTAGATTTTTGCTGATTTTTGGTTGTTCCTGTATTTCTTTTTCTAATAGATATGTCATTGAGTGTTTTCTAAATTGCCAGGCCTTGGGAGGTCCTAGAGATACAGAGCTGGATAAAGATGTAGACATGATTCCTTCTCTCAAAGATCTCCTATTCTAGTCAGGGGGTTCCAAAAAACTGAACAAGATCTATTATTAGCATAAGTAAGATATCCAAAAAGCATAAATTACCAAATATCATCAGAAAGAAACCAACACCTCATTCTGATTCCTTTCGTATACTACTTCTGAAGAGACCAAGTAAACCCCTATGATGAGAGAGACAAAGTGTTAGCCTAGTAAACTAAACAACGCATGATTACGTTCCTAGGTGATCGTCACTTTCAAATCTCTGAATTCCTCTTGACGTCATTAGACCTTAAATAGTTACAAATACAGCAGCAGCCAGTATTTCAACATTTGTTCTGCGCATCAGAGCCAGGCAGGCATGCTGTGGTGAAGTGTCAGATTATTTTTAGTCTAGCTCTTGGTTAAAACTGTGACTGTTGGCACAATTGCCAGCTAGCTAGTTTAGAGTTGGTTATCTGCCCTTAGGAGTCCCTTCAAGGCGTCTGATTATTCAGGCTTCTCCACCTACTTTCTATGCATGATCCTGTCTGATGGAAAAGTCTTCTCTCTGAAGATCCCAGGTTTGTGATTTTCCAGTAAGAGTAGTGACCTCTTCAAGCTATAAAGATGGCATTGGCTTTATGTCCACGTGGCAGAGTCGAATGCAGCTGAGGCAACAGGGTGCAAGGGAAACAGGGCACAGCTGACACTGGAGCTGTTGAGGGTCCCTTACGCAGAGGGTGGGCCTCCAGAATATCTTGGGCTGCCTAGAGTAGCCCTACCACGAGAGGCTCTGAATTGTATATTCATTTTTAAACCTTCTTGTTTCCTATCCCTTTGCATCACAGATCCTGGGAGATTTGGGCTAATGAACCCATTATCTGTTCATAAGCCTCAGGCATATATAAATGATACTCCTAGCCTCTCTGTGTTTCTTTGTTAGCATTTCTTTCAAGGGCATAATGTAAAGAGAAACCAAAGGAAGCTGGGAACAGCACTGGGGATGGGGCAGAGGGAGGTCGTGGAGATGGTGGCACTCAGATGTATGAAACAGCAAGATACACTGATGTTGAGCAAAGGCTGGTGAAAGAAAGCTTGTCCTTCGAGCACAAGTCGAGAGAGCCCATATAAAAGCAAAGGACAGTAGGACTTCAGTAAATCTATTCATCACTATATTAGGACTCTGGGTTTCTAATAATAGAACCCAACCCAAACTAGCTTAAGCCGAAAGAAGGGATTGATTATAAAAGATACACGGCGTCTCAGAAGCTAAGAGCAGAAATGTGGCTGGGTAAGCAGGGGAAGTGAGAACTGGAAGGCCATGGGCACTGCAAGTGCTCTGTGACATGTCTCTGCTTCTCTCTGTGTGTCTGCCTCTTTCTTTTCCCAAGAGGAATAGATTTCTCAGCTGTCTGTTCCATGTGGTGGACACAGGATGGCTGCCCATGACTCCCAGCGTCACTTGTCACACTACGAAGAAAGAGATAGATGCATTTAATACCTTTTAGTCTCACTGCCATATTCCTAGATGGTATATTTGTTCTACCAAGAAAGAGCTGCCTGCAGCTTCAGTCCACTGACATTAGAATTGAACCCCATTGCACAATCATGGCTCCTAGAAATTAACCCACCCATATAGACGGGAAGGGGGTGGATTGTTAAGGAGGGGTGAGAACCACTGTCAGCTGGAAGGAAGCCCTTTAACAGAGGGCATTGTTGACATCATGAGTAATGTAGATGTAAGCCCAAAAGGAAACTAAGGTCAAGAGCATGGGTGAAATGATTGCCTTTTAACTAATTGGATGCTCCTTAAATTGGCTCCACAGAAAAATGTCAAACTTATTTCTCACTTCTCCCAAATGGTTCCAATAGACCTTTCCAGCTGGCTCTCCTCACAGTCCCAAGGATGTGCTATGCATATTCCCATTCCCCTTATTCTGAGTCCCTCACTGAGAACACTCGTCCCCTTACATTTTTTCTATCTATGATGGACTAAATGCTGATATCCCTCCCCAAATCCTAACACCCAATGGAATAGTATTTGGAGGTGGTGCCTTTGGGGAGTGATTACATCATGAAGGCAGAGCCCTCAGGAATGGGCTTAGTGACCTTATAAAGACACCTTCGAGAGCTCCCACACCCCTCCCACCAGGTGAGGTTATGGCAAGAAGGGCATCTATGAGCCAGGAAACAAGACCCTCAGTGGGCACTGAATCTGCCAGCACCTTGATATTAGACTTCCCTGCCTCCAGAACTATGAGGAATCAATTTCTGTTGTTTACAATCCACCCATTTGGGTTTTTTGTTTTTTTTGTTTTGTTTTGTTTTGTTTTTACCGCAGCCCAAGTGGACTAGGACATTATCCAAATCTTACCCCTCTATTTTGGATCAGCTGAAATCCTCACTTATTCATGAGTCTCTTTTTCCATCTGATCATATTTACTAGTCAATTTACTAGTAATTAATTTTACCTTCATCAGATACATTTTTCAAACTAGACTACATAGTCCTCTACTTCAAAGACCTCATCA